AAACGTGAGCATATAGCAATATGGCATGACCATAAGATTCGATCAATATAATAAGAGTCAACTGTAAATTGGTAAATGATAGTCATGACTGTCCTGTGAAGCTCTCAATTAATTTTATGTACTCTATGAATTATGTGGTCTTTAAATTAACTGTGAAAAACATGCATCAGTCTGCAGGGTCTTCAGTGTGTTAAGATCTGAGATTTGACAATTATGATACACTTCCACTAGAAGATGATAAAATACACCAAATTACGGCCTGACCCTTCTAGATTTTGAGATGATTTCGGGGTCAGTGACACAAAAACGTCAGAGAACCTTTCGCCTTCAAACAGCCGAATCAGTGAGGTGTAAGAAAATTGTTAAAATGATCCATTAAGTGAGGGAGGAGTCGGATTAAAAGGCGTAATGAGATGAATGAAGCATTCAGTTTGTGTGTCTGTGTGTGTGTGTGTGGTGTCTTGGGGGGGTATCATAGCCTGTCTAGGGAACCAGAGAGAGCAGTTCGAGGGAGCAGAGGGGTTAAGAGCGGTGTCACACCCAGAGAGACATTGCGCCGCCGTCCTAATGATGTCCACCGGCCTAATTGAATATTGACGTTCTGCACACGAGGGCTAAATGGCTTCTGTCTGCTTCACCTCCGCTGCCGGCCAGGGCTGCAGTTTTTGAACCTGTTTCCACTGTTTGATTCCCAGAGGGGGGTTGGAAGGGTGATTGTTAAACGTCCCTGTTACCATGGCTACGGTCTTTTCGTCCTTTTTTTAATCCAGTGTTTTGTTTTTGTGCCGCTGTTTGAGTCAAAGAAGGTTTATTTTTTTATAGTTTCTTACAAATTACACAAGTTTTCTCAGAGCTTTGATGTTGTTCTTCCTCAACTTAAACACCTCCTTCCGCTGGCGTGAGCACAAACGCACCACAAACACGTGACGACATCTTTCCACGTCTTCCCTTGTTGTTTACTCCTCCTCCTCCTCCTCTTTTTATCCTTCTCTCTGATCCTCACCTCCTTCAGCCTTTTTCTTTTTCTCTCACTTCTGCTTCTATTTCTGTGATGGTGTTTTACTTCCCACTGTGCCTGCCTCCAGACGCTTCTCCTTTGTTGCCACGGCGACGCACTCCAGGTGGCGAGTGTCAAGGCAAGACTGGGCTCCAAATGTAGTCTGATCACAACACACACACACACACACACGCATGTACGCACACTCACACACATGCTGGTCTGCATATACGCACTCTGAGAACAGACTGAGACACTGGCATCGTACATTCTGTTCAACACTCACATCCTACTCAGATGCTGGTGGACGTGCACTCTGCCCACTACACACACACACACACACACACACACACACACACACACACTGAGCAGTACAGTATAATAAAACCTGTGTCACAGCCACACAGGAAACAATCTCTCCTTTATGTGACTGGGATGTCATTAATCTTGGCGGAGGTTAACAAATGCACTTGCATGGAAGGTATATTTCATAGGCAGACAGCCGACAATGGGGCCATTGTGGCGTCGAGCTGCAGCGCCTCGCTCTGCATTCAGTCAGGACCTTTTGGTTGGCTCGGGATCCTCGGCTCATGTCCGGGGTTATGTTTCATCTCCCAGATGAATGTGTTTATGCGGGAGAAAACATGTGAAACATGGAGCGAAATCAACGCTCCAGCTATTTATTTATTTTTTGCTGCCTGCGACCACGATTTATTTTTCTGAATCGGGGGAAAATAAATGTGTTCGGCCATTTTTCAAAGTTTGGCCTTGTTGCTATTAGTCAAAACTAGAGCCAGACAAATATCCTGCCCGTGCTTTCTGTGTGCAGCCGGCCGACCAGGCCAGCTCGGCTCTGATTCACTGCTTTCTAAGTTTCTCCGCAGCAGCAGCAGCAGCAGCAGCAGCAGCAGCAGCGCTATTTCCATCCTTGAAGTGGCGAGTCTTCCCAGTAATCCATTAGACTTCCATTAACTCCGATTTGTGTGATTAGTTCTAATTAATCAGTTCAGTCTGTGGCCTTCACTCCCCTGTGCGCTCCTCACATTTCATTTTTAACCTCATTTCTCAGCTCTCCACCGAGCGAGAGAACGAGGCAACGACTGAGCGAGCAAATCAAAGAGCGAGCTTCAGGTCTGCCGCTGCCGCTGCCGCCGCCCCGCACAAACACTCGATACTGCTCAAGCACCAGACCCCAAACTGGCTGAGCCGGTGCTTAGACTGCATTATAATGCTCTTTTCTCTCGACACGCTGAATTGATGGGATTTTTTTGGTTTCTTATTTTGAGCAGAGATACTCGAGGAGCTTGGTTGTGTTTTAAAACGAACCAGGAGGGATTGAGATCTCATGTTTTACACATCTTGAGTCTGCTCAGCTCTGGTTAGCCCCACTCGGCCCTCCCATGGAACGGTAAGTATTGATTAGAGCCGGAGCGTCCATCCCTCACTGTAACAAAGCCTATTGATGTTTGTGGAGCACTGATTTCCCTTCGGTCAGATACCATCCGCAGCACCATCGCTAAGTGACTGGAAGCTGCTCCAAAGTCTGCGGTCTGTCCCAAAGTAACCTGGTGTAACAGAAAATCATCTTTTCATCAGCGACTGTGTGCTGCAACACTCAGATAAAAATTAAAAGATTTTTTCTGGGCTTGTTGCAGTAGGTCAGCTTATATACTGAGGTATTATGTGGTGATAATCTATCTTCCTTTCCTCTGTTGTCAGCCTTCTTCTGCCATTACAACTATTGTGATAAATGAAGGCTCAATTTATCAACCAGCCTCTACTCGATTTCTTTTTCTCCCCTCGGTTTCCCCGCCCCCGCTCCTATATCTAACCTCCGCACGGTTCGCTTTATTTCTTCATCTGTTTTCGCCCCCCCTGCATCCATCCACCCACCCATCCATCCATCCATCCATCCCTCATTCCCACTCAGCCAGATCGAGGCTTTCTTTGTGTCTGCTGGGGAAGGCTGAGATGCTGCCTGTCACCCCGGAGCCGCAGACTCCCATCCAGGCTGCCGGAGGTGGCCTGGCTGCTGTCAATCAATCTGCAGGCTGTGTAGCAGAGGGGATGGGGGTTGACACATGATGTGGCTCCCTGCTGTTTAGAAATTCACTTTTTTTATTTTCTAGAAGGCCTGCGCAGTCAGTCGTATAGTTTGGGCTTCTTAGATTAATTAATCTTGATGTGGCTCTTTAAATTTGAAGCTCTCGCACTCAAACATCAAACACTCTATCATGGGCAAACAGTCTGACCAATCGCAGGTGTTTGTTTCAGGTTTAAACATTTCATGCATTCCACTACTGTGGGCACTCTGCAAGTATACAGCAATATACTGGAACTGAGCATCCTTTTTTTCCATGCATCCTGCATCGTCATTACGCTGGGTTTTGGTTTCAAGATTTGTGCTTTCAGATATTGTTTTGCCCAATTTAAAACATTCCTACTCTAGTAGACTACATTATGTGTCATTATCTTACCACGTTACCCTGTTTGCAGCACAATCAACTGTAGAAATACAGTATTTGTATATCGTGATTGTTTTTGACTGTGATTTATTTGCATTACTAAGCATTACACAAGCTGACTTAAGGGGCCGTACACATGCTTTGTCTTTTACCTCCTGGAAAAGATGAGGTCTTGCCCTGCGTGCCCACTCTCAAGAGCGCAGGGGCAGGCTGCGTCTAAGGTCGCTAAGCAACTTTAAGAAGCACGGTATCATAGCCAGTTTACCTGAAATCCTGAGTGCAGAGCTGATCTTCTTCCAGGTGCTGTTTATAAGTTCGTAGGCCTAAAATATTGTCGTGGATCAGATGTAAAAGTCTGGATAGCCCCACACTAAAATAATTAACTATTTCTCCATATTTGCCACACACTGATATTTACGGACGATGGAAAAGACATCTGTCTGGTCTCGTCACATGGCATGCGGTGAGCACTGCTGCTTTCTAAAAGTCAAATGTTGTTAAACGTTGTTCATCAAATAGGCGCTCAGGAATGCGTACAGCATTGCTCTGGCTTTTGAGCAGGCCCGCCGCGCTTCTACATTTAAAACAAGAGATTTTAGTTTGCGAAAAACGCGGCATGTGTACGTCTCCTAAGACTTCCTGCAGCTGCTTCACAATAAGAACCACAAGCAATTCTATTCTCTCGAAACCTTTTACAGTGAAGCAGCAGCAAGTGTTACATATTTTACATATTTAGTTCGGTAGACAGAAAATAGTTCCTACATGAAACTGCTCACAGCAAGGTCTGTGGATTGAAGATGAGAGAGAGGTGGAATGCTGCACTTTGGGTCGGACCAGTGTGAAAAAAATATATTAAAAATCAGGTCCTCTTCAGTACAGGATGACAAAATGAATAAACAGAGAGAAAGGCGTTCAAAAAAGAAGATGTCAAGTAAGCCACAAAGAGGCAGACTGAGGCACTCCGATGGTGATAGGAATAAAAATCCTTTATTGTAAGGGATACCAACGCATTTCAACCGGCATGGTCTTCTTCAGAGTAGTGCTGAAGGTCTGTGGATTATCTTGAGTAACCGGGTCATGATTTCTGGCAAGAAACATTGCTGTTGAGTTTTTTAAATGTATTTTTATGCGTGCTTTGAGCACCACAAGCGCCACCTAGTTCCTTACATATTGAAGAGAACACAGACATCTCTACAGCCGATATCTCCAACACTCAGTCTAGACTGATAAACAGCACTACAGCTAAGAGGAAAAATATATGTTTTTGATTTCAGGGTGAACTGTCCCTTTAAAAACAGATTCTGGAGAAAGTTGTAAAACTGTTTATGTAGAGACGAGTAAATAAGGACACAGGAGCGAGATAAGCATTAAAACAAGGTTCTCTTGCTGCTACTAAGAAACAGCCAGCTGAAGTAAAGGTGCATAAATTCAGTAATATATTTTTGCTTCCAGATATCAATTTAGCTTTATGCTATAATCATGGTGGAGTTGGTCTCCTGAGCAATGTTAATGTGCTCTCTCTGCCTCTGTCTCTGCAGGACTCCGTGGTTTAACGGCTGGGGGTTCAACCTGCCTCGGGGTCAGTCTCTGCTGGATAAATGGAACCTCGTCCCTGAAGGCATCGACATCCTGATGACCCACGGACCTCCACTCGGTGAGTCCAATTAACCAATCACAGCCCCTCATCACCATATCTAATGAGATTGTGCCTCATTATTCAAAATCTGTATGAAGCCACTGGAGGCGCCGCAGCAGGCGGTGTGTGTAGATGTGTTTGTACGTACACTATAGTCACAACTGTTTCATCTAAATCCAATCCTGAACACGGTCTGATTCAATATTTGGGTTTGAATTTATGAAAAAGAAAATACATATTGTTTGGATTTTTTTTTTTTACTCCACTACAGACTGATTCAGTTTTCCTTCTAGTTGTTTGGGTTGTTTTTTGTTTTTGTTTTTTTCCTTTGCACTCTCCATCTGGCTTTATTGAGTGATTTCCTTCCCTCTCGCCTACGGAGGGTTGCTGCTGTTGCTGCTGTGGCAGCCGCTGTGGCCGTTTGATTGCATGGAAACTCGATTTTGCACCAGTGTGACAGACGCTGCAAACGATTGGAGAGAGACCATGGGAGGGGAGAGCCGAGCTGGGGGGGAGGGAGGCATTGAAGATGTAGGGTGGCTCTCCAAAACTGGAAAACACAAAATGGGAAGAAAAAAAATCTGGGTTACACGACCACGCTAGAAATATGAAGAACGGGTTTCATCTGCCAGAATGTGTTTAGATTGCTGTTAAATTCAGATGAAAAGGCAGTGAATTATTTATATTTATTTACAGAGCTGAGTATCAAGAGGTGGTTCTGAACTAGAAAAGGCTGCCAATATATAAGAATGGGGGATTTGTTAAAAGATGTACTTGTATCTGACCACACTGAGAGATCAACAGTTTAGACAAGCTTCACACAAGTCAGCAGTGATATTGTAATAAATGAAGTCCAATATGACGAAGCATCTCCTGCAGCCGGAAGCTGTGTTCTTTCAGGTTGTGCATAGCAAGACATGAGAGAATAGCTATCCCTTATTTGCACCTTTTTCACAAAAAGAATCACAACCTACTTTAACATTTGACTGTAGAATGACTGTAGGAAGCATTCACAATAAAAGACAGTGATAAAAGTACAGAAGGTACAGGAGTATTGATACTGCTGTAAATTAGTATTAAAACCATCATTAAGTCAAATTATGCCACAGGAGTCAGAACCAGAATTTCATAACAATCAGATTCAATTGGAATCATTGTCTCTAAAACTTAAAAGGTAGCTAACAGTCTGTGTACTAAACTGTATCAGTACACGGCTTTGTTGAATATGTCGTTCTGATTGTGGTCAGTTGAGGTATTCAACAGTCTGTTATCACTTAATAGCAGACGAGTGCTTTGAATTACAGACCGTTGTCATGGACGCAAGATCATTTTGAAATCAATATTTTGCATCAAATTATTGATTTCCTTTGTAAGTGGCCTTGTAATAAGCGAGATAATGTTCAGTGAGCTGCTCATTATTGTGTCATGAACCCCTTCAGGGTGATTCAGGATCCGCATTACCCCGTCACTTTCTTGTAGCTCACCTACATGACTCATTGCAGGAAATGAAGGGTTATGGGTTAGGTCATGTGTTACATTTCTGTACATCCATTGCTGACGACTGGTCAACTACACCAGGACTGTGCAGTGAACTGAGAATTTTAATGCGTCTGTTTATGTAGGTTTCCGAGACTGGGTCCCCAAGGAGCTGCAGCGGGTCGGCTGTGTGGAGCTGCTCAACACAGTGCAGAAGAGGGTGCGACCCAAACTTCATGCCTTTGGAGGCATTCATGAAGGTACTGAGAATAAGATTAATTAAGGTCAGAGGTCGGGAGGGTCTGAGCTTTAAACTGACATACAGAGGAATCACCTCAGATCTCTCCCTCTCTTACTTAAGTTTTTTGCTTAGGACCAGCGTACAGTCTGCTGGAGAGTAAAAATACGTTTTGTTTTATTCCTTCAAAGAAATCGTCACCTACCTAATCCCTAGTCCCTTCAGCAAATTACGAATTCATGCACTCAGTAAACATTTTCCTTTCCCCTAATCCTACAACTACTTAGTTACTTAAAGCAATAGTTTGGATTATTTTGAAGTGGGGTTGTAAGGGATATTTACCTATCAGTGTATTACATAAAGAAGATAGCGGTCAGCACGCATCCATTTTGGAGAAGCAGGCTGAAGGTTGACACAGAGGCAAAGCAATGCACTGCCGTGGACAGAGGGTAGCAACAAGACATATTGTAGTTGCTTTTAAAAAGTTCCACCTAAAAGAATTTCAATATCAGTTTAAGCATACGTATATTTAGAATATTTTTACCTGTTTACCTTACCGTCAGACAGAGTTTTCTGATGGGGAACTGAAGCCATTGCATTACTCTCTTCAAAACCAGACTCCATTGAGAAAAACAGTGATTTCACACCACTGCCCCTATCAGTTAGGTTGTTTGTGTTTATTATATGATTATATGATTTTACTGGTTTTGTTAATGGAGTCTGGTGGCTTTGACAAGAGCATACAGTAGATGGGAAACCACAGCAGTTAACGACTTTCCAGAACAGGCTATCTGACAGAAAGGTAATGTGGTGAAAAAATTCTCAATCTAGGGTACATTTAAACTGTTATTGATATATATATATATATTTAGGTGGTTCTTTTTAGAAGTGTTTTGTTGCTGCCTCCTGTCCACAGCAGTACATTGCTTAGCTTCCTTGTCGGCACACGCACTGCCTGCTTCTTCAAACAGTCCGGTGTGCCGACTGACATCTACTGAATGTAATACACTGAGTATGGTTAAGTATTCCACACAACCCCACTTCAAAAAATCCGAAATATGCCTTTAACATTAATAGAATGATTGTTGATAATCTGCACTTTGCACTAAGTCATTACATCGAAGCAAACTCACATCCCGTAAAACTCTTTTAAGGGAAATCAAAGATAACATGACATCTTGTCAAGTAGCCAAAACCCTGTATTAAATCAAAGTTATTCAAGCAGTTATTGCCCAGACAAAAAAGTGGAATAAATGTGATAAATGAAGACGAGACCAAATTGCTGAACCTGTGGAAAAAATAGGTATATAAAGCACACAAATTTGAGATTTTTGGGAACAGTTCATCAGAAACTTCCTCCCTGATTGTAAAAATTTGGGGGTGACTGAATGTTGCCTGTTGCTGACGCCTGTTTCCCTCCTCAGGCTACGGGATCATGACAGACGGCTTCACGACGTTCATCAACGCGTCGACCTGCACCGTCAGCTTCCAGCCTACCAACCCCCCCATCGTGTTCGACCTGCCCAACCCCTCCAGCTCCTGAGACCAGAGGACAGGGGTGGGGACGGTCACGGGCTCGATAAACTACTTTTTTTCTATAAATATGTCAAGTTTAAAAAAAAAAAAATTCTAAGTGTTTCTTTGCAAACTTTTGGTCTTCTCCAAGCTGTTGTTGAGATTGAGAAGATTTGGAGACATGGGGTGGGGTGGGGAGTTTGTCGGGGAGGGTTAAAGGAGAATACCGGTGTTTTCTGTTTTTTTCTTCTAATCGTGCCAACAGTGCTGGTTTCCCTCTGAGGTTTTTGTTTTCAACACAGTCAGCGTAGTTGCAGATATCAGGGTTTGTTTTCCTCCAGAAGGAGAAGAGTGTTTTTCAATCTCGTCTGTCTGAAAAAACAACTGCCACATTGCGAGGTAATCCATGAAGAAACTTTGTCTTTTGTCCTGATTTCATCCTGCAGAGTTCAGCATTTTTATATCAACGCTTCTCAGTGCTCTGCTTCCTGTTAATCGCCTGTGGCCACGGAAAGAAATGGAAACTTCATCCAGAAAATAATCCTTTAAAAATTCGTTGCCTTGATGATTTAAGTTGATGATGTCTGATGACACAGTTGGAGTTATTTTCAACATAACAAGCTTGTTTTCTTGAGATCACAAATCAGTGTGTTTTTGGGTTGCAGGAAAATACTTTGTATTTTTTTTACATTCCTAAAATATCTCTTGAATTTTTTTTTTCCATGGTCACAAAAAATACAATTTCAGCATCACAAGAAAACATCAGGCTGAATCCAAATGTCCACCCTCTGGACATGTGGACTTCAGTCGTACTGTGATGTGTTCACTGTCATCATGTAAAGACTGCAAGCAGCTGATCGACAGCCCTTGAGTCCTCTTTGGCCTTTTGTACTTTAGTACTCTTATATTTGCATGTCCTTGATCATTTGGAAAGTTTTTATTTAAAGAAAGAAAAAACAAGTGTTAGTCAAACTAATTATGCAATGTGAGATGAATTTGGGTGGCATGTTAAACTGAGCTATGAGTGACGCCGGTATTCTCCTTTTGTCAGAGGGATTTTGTGGTTAAACAATCTTGCTCTTGATAAATATTGGTCAGATCTGTAACATAAATGATGCTTTGTGAATTTGTACAATTTCTTTGTGTTTGGTTTGCATTGGCCGGACAATGGATGCCATTGTTTTATGTTGTATCATCTGATATTTTGTGTTTAGGTCTTTTTTTTTTTTTTTTTCTTGTCAGTTCGTCTTTTCTTATTGGCTGACAGGGACGCTGCCTTAAACTAGCTTTAATGTTCTCAGCTAGAGCCCCACTCTCTGCGAGCTCAGAGAAAAGTCCTTATTTATTACCCCGCAGAACAACACCTGACTAACGCAGGGACAGAAAGCTATCAAATTACAGCCCGAAAAATTAACTTTGTAACATCCCGTTATGGATTTCTGATCTAATTTGGAAAATGTATGTATAAAATATATAAATATATATATTATATATTCATGTTGTAAAACATCTGTACTAAAAGTTGTGTTTGACAAAAAAAAGAAAAAAGAAAATCTGGTGCATTATTTTCATTATGCACCTGTATAATTGACCTGTTTCTTTAATGCTCCCATCAGACGCTCTTTCTTTCATGTTTTTTGTATCGACTCTCCCGGTAGGGTAGACATTCATTTTTGGATGAGAGAGGAAAATTTGTCAGAGTCACAATCTAACAGGTGCTGGTTGTTCCCAACAACGCGCCTGCCTAAACCTGGTAAAGTTGTCCTTTAAAGTGTAAATCTGATAGTATTTGTGTTTTATTGCTTTCTTTTTTTCTAATTTTGCACTGTGTGTAAATGCAATCTTGCTAGCACAAAAAAAAAATGTTGCCAATAGTTGTCTCAACTTTGCCGCTGTAAATGCTCTTTCCGTGCTCTGTTCCTCTCTCGCTCTTTCTCTGATTGTATCCCTCTTCATGGAAATGTTAGTTCTCTCTTTCAGTTCATTGTGATATATTTAGCTGCCTTTATATGCAAATAAAATTGCAAGATTTTTACTTATCAAGCTCTGTCTTGGTGTTTATTTTTTAAGATGTGACCGGTCTTCCAGTTTTAGGTTTGATCCTGAAAGTTTAAAACAACTTTGAGTTTCAGATCGGCGGCATGGTGGTGCAGTGGTTAGCACTGTCACCTCACAGCAAGAGGGTTCTTGGTTCGAACTCCAGGGTGGGGCAGCCCTTCTGTGCAGAGTTTGCATGTTCTCCCCATGTCAGCGTGGGTACTCCAGCTTCCTCCCACAGTCCAAAGACATGCAGGTTAACTGGTGACTCTAAATTGCCCGTAGGTGTTAATGTGAGTGTGAATGGTTGTCTGTCTCTATGTGTCAGCCCTGTGATAGGCTGGTGACCTGTCCAGGGTGTACCCTAACGTTAACTGGAATAGGCTCCAGCCCCTCCGCGACCCTCAACAGAATAAGCGGTTACGGAAAATGAATGAGTTTCGGATCCTCAATCTAGTTCATACTTAACCACAGAAAATGGAGCATTTTAAAAATCTTAAAAGATGATGAATTTGTTAATAATGTCATATTGCCTGGCATGGTGCAAAACACAACAGTATTTCAAAACAACAAATCAAAATCATGTGTTTTGTACTGTTTCTTCTGCCGACTGGGCCGACCCTTGAGGCCAACATAAATCAAGGAAGGAGTACAATTTACCAGTAAAGAAATTGTTGGTAAATTTTATGTCTTTGCAATGACGTTGAAGTCATTTTTGTCCTCCACCAAATCTAATTCCATGTTTAATTTTTTTAAACCATAACCTCCAGAAATAATAAATGTTTTTTTAAAATGTGTTTCCATTAGTTTTACAGTTTACAACATTTAAAAGCACAATGTTCAGATGTGCTTTAACGTTTCTGCATGTTGGGCATTTTGCCTTCCTCCTTTTTGTAGACTGCTACAGAGTCATTAGTCCAAACAAACCTTTCCCTCCTGCTCGCACATTGTAATAGGATACTGTGACATTGGTTCAAACAGACAACATATTTTTTCATGCTTGGGCTCAGGTTAAACGTCTAGAGTCAAAATGATGTCAAAATTATTGGCATTTAAGTCAGTATCAAGTTACAAGTATTTTTAGATTTAGTCGTCCCATCCACGACTTGATTCCAAGTCACATGATTGCAGTCCACACGTCTAGGAAACACTGTTTGTCATGTGACAAGATTTATCATAAATCTGGCTGATACATTGTCATGTAGTTGCAAAATTAAGGAACTGTGCACCTTGGTGATTGCTAACAGCCAAACCTGCATTACAGGTTTTCTCATTGGCTTGTTTGGTAGTTTCTGTTGTCTGATCACTGCTAATATAATAATAAAAAAATATTTATTTGACTTCTAACCACTACATTTACATATTGCTCTTATGACATTATTAAATTTGTATACATGCGCGCTATGTAAATATTGTTGTTGCTCATGTTTGGACCAAGCTGACACAGCTGCAGGCTTGGCCTACTTCTGAGAGCCATTTGTTTACTTTAGTCTAAAGTATATAAATGTATACTTATCTGCACAGCCTAATATCACAGCAGGTGTTTTGCCTCTACAGGCAGAACACCTGCTGGTCCTGATTGTGCCGAGGCCACAAGAGCAACATGCTTAAATGTCCTGACCCACAGATGAGTATGAAGGCAGTTCATCAGCAGCAGCTTCTTCCTGCTGTGTGACTGTACAGAGAGAAACAGGAAAAACTAAAGTCATGTAAAGCTTAATGTACTCTGTTGATCTCTCCAGCTGTGAGGGTTATTTAACAAGATGGATAGATAGATAGATAGATAGATAGATAGATTCACTTCCTGTCTTTGTGTGTTTTCTGTCACACCTGTCTCGTTAGTCCTTCCCTGCTCCACCAGTCTTCCCTTCACACCTGCTCTGTATGTCTTGTTTGCTCCACCCCTCCACACCCTTGTTGTTAGCCAATCCCCATTTCCCTCCTTTTGCCCGTGTCCACCAACTCCAGCTGTGTGTCATTCTTGTGATTAGTTTTCTGTGTATATACACCTGTGTGTTTCCCTTTGTTCCTTGCAAATGCGCAGGTTCAAGTTTGCAAAACAATTATCAGACATGTCTATGAAAAACAATGTTTGCTGAACAAGAAATACATGCACAGAAACTTTGAACTGACATCTATAGGATGTTTCTAATATGCAAAAAAGGGGCGTGGCCTTGACGTTTTGTGAAGTGTAATACAAAGCAGGCCTACCCATTTTAAACTACTTTTAAAAACAGTCATGAAATGGGGTTAAATATTATGGAAAAGTTTTGAAAATCCAATGGTGAAAATGTGATGGAACTATATCAGGGGCGTAAATATAGACAGTGGTGGCAGTGTGGTTGGACTTGGGCCTGTGAGGTGGGGGGGGCCCATAGAGAGAGTGGGCCCTCCAACACTGTGTTGGGTGGAGAATGGGCCTTTATGAGTGATTGCTACCTCAGAAATATCCTTATTAAATTTAAAAAGGTGCCATTTGCTGTATATGCCCTTGACAAATGCAGAATAATCTGTTGTGTTTTTTGATTTTTGTTTTTTTTTGTAGGTAGTCAGTAGTATCTATAACAAAAATATAGAATTGTCACTGCACAAGGAGTACGACTGAATTTGCTGTGCCATGCCTGAAATATGAAAAATAGAAAATAGACAGTAATAAATACATGAACACAATCATCCCAAATCAATAAATATATTTAAAAAATTAAAATAGATGTGTTGATGTCTAGTGTTGAGTCTCTGTTTGATCATGTGATGAGATGATATGTGCACAATAGCGTACACGAGGGCCCACTGTAACTACCCTATGTCACTGAACTACATATCAAGCAACCTGTTACATGACATTATTTCAGCACCCTGAACCACTGCACTATTGTCAATCTGTTCACAAGTTTCATTGTGTTTTTGTTTTATATGGATATTTTTTACATCATATAAATTTGTATCTGTAGTCGAATTTTAATGTTAACCTTATTCAGCTATCCTTGTTTTAAGTGTATCTCTATGTCTGTGTGCACCTTAAGAGCAACAAAAAAAATTCAGTCCTTGTATGTGTCCACGCACTTATTCTGATACTGCTAAATTAAAGATGCAGCAGCAGCTCATCCTATTACTTTATTTGTATTGTCAACAAGGACCCACCTGAGAAGGTGACCAGTATTTCTAGATATGAAGGGCTTTTTTCAGCCACAGTAAATACGCTGATCAATTACTGATTGAAAAACGATGATCAGTTCTGGATTTAAAGAGCCTTTAACAGATCTCACCCAAACTCAGATCAACAGATGACTCAACATGCTTCACTCAGCAGGAGAGAATAAAAATGTGGCCTGTCTCTCTCCCGTACTTGTTATCTGAATATTCACAATGTTTCAGCTCCAGATCTGCATCCTTTCTCATTGGTTTCATCAGGTTTCATTCCTTTTCAACACTGGCCAGCACAGATCCTTCGTAGGCCAAAAATAAAATGGGCTTGAGTTGTGGGGCGCCTTTGCCAGCCTTTCCCACCAACCCCCTTCTCTCATCACCACGACATCAAAGAAACCCAACCAATTAACTATTCCCCGAAACGAGAGCAGCAAAGCATCGCCCCACACCCACCAGATCCCCCTGCACATTACCATAATCCAGTCTAATCATATTAACATAGGCCACAGATGAGCAGGAGGAGACACGGCTGCTCCGGCTCTGCTGCGTTCGTTCAACCTCTTAGTGTGGGTGTGAATGCATACGGGCACTTTAATGCTGCACATGTTGTGTCTCTGCAGTCCCTTTTATATAGGCACTAATATACTGCACGACTTAGTCCTTCTATACTCCCCAACATGCTAAATGTTAGATATGCTAAACATGTCCCTGTCAACATGCTAACACTTCACATGTTAACATGCTAGTGTGTCAACATTACATGCTTATCATTAGAATGTTAATTGCAGACATTAAATGCTGGTTTAACACCATGCATGCTAATGACGAGCTAATACTACATAATACATGTTACATGTTCCTAAAGTAAATGTCAGAATCTTAAAGGTACAGTGTCGGATTTAGAGGGATATACTGGCAGATATGGAATATAATATGATAAGCATGTTTTCTTTGGTGTATAATCGCCTGAAAATAAGAATCTTAGTGTTTTTCTTACCTTAGAATGATCCGCTTATATCTACATAGAGAGCTTGTCTTTGTCCACGGATATCACCATATTGTACCATGTTTCTACAGTAGCCCAGAACGGATAAACCAAACACTGGCCCCCAAAATTAGCAGCTCCTTTGCAACAAGAGCGTTGGAAAAATTTATATTTTTAAGATGAAACTGCTTTAGTCAGTGTTTTACCCATTTAAATCACCATGTCTGTATGTTTTGGGGATGAAGAGATCTCTGTGGATAATTTGGCTCCTGGTAAAAACATCCTAAATGTCTGGAGCCAGTTGCACAAAACACCTTAAGTTTTCTCCTTAAAGGAGCAATAAGCGAAATCGTTTCACCGCTAGGTTTGCTGTTGTGCACTGCCTGTAGAGCAAAACAAAGTGTGTCATGAGCCACACCTTCCTCTACCTCTGCTCTCTGTCGGCGAGTACTGCAGCACCTCCACGGACTATCACATCCAGACGATCCCAGTGTTTCTTCCGCAGGCTCCGCTTCACTCAGCTGCCCGATATACCCGCTGCTTCTTCCCACATTAACCTGAATAACAAACCAGGGCTCGGTGCTCCAGGAAGCTGGGAAGCTAGTGGAGGCTAACTGGTTGTGTTAGCTGCTGAGTGAAGTGGAGCATGAGGAGGAAGCACCGGTTAGCCCCGGTTTCACTGACATAAAAGACATAAAACCTAAACAGCCAGCTTAGTTTAGCAGTTAGCAATGTCTTTCACTCATTCTCGGTCTCTGCTGTGTTTAGCTAATTCCCTGCTTTCCTGTTAGCGTTAGCACTACTCGGCTGCCACGCTAACGCTCCAACTGAGCCGGGAGCCGGGCTCACGGTCTCACGGAGAAGAGTTGGAACG